GCAAAGTCTGGAAACCAGAAAGCAAATCTGCCATTCGCCATGGAGTCCGAGTTCGGGCCCTTTTTCCTCTCCAACTTCCGCCCGGATTCCCAGCGACTGCCAAAGGGGTGGGACGGAACTCGTTTTTTTTTTTTTTTTTCTGCCAGAGGATCGGAGCCAGCGTCCACAGCGATGCGTTTCGGGTACTGCACCTTGATTCCACGGCGTAATGCGGCCTCTCCAAGCTTGCCAAGATTGACCTGCCTGGCCAACCAAGTAAAACAAGAAACCGAGAAAAAACATAAGTTGCAGTACATTGAGGCGTACCATGTTTTGATCTCTTTCACTGATCTGACATGCATGATTCCCTCCTCCGGTTTCCCTCCCGCCGGCAGAAGTCTAAGCTGGCTTGTTTCCCAAGGCAGCCAGGTCACCATGACATACAGTAGGCCTTTATGCGCTGTCGTGCAATCACCTTGCTCAGAAGTTGGGGTGTCCTGCAAACCGCAGGAACGCTGAGCCAAAATTATGGTCAAAATCTTTGGTTGGTTGTGCCCCTCAAGATGATCACTCGCAAGATGAAACAAGGGGTGGCAACTTGCGTTGGCACCATGTGTGGCTGCGAGTTGTGTGTCTTTCAGGCCTTGCGCCGCTGGCTGCTAGCATCAGCGACGCCGAAATTGCGAAGCCCGGGAAGCCCGAATCGCAGGCCAGGTCCGGCTCCCAACTCGCCTTCCTCTCGAGTTTGATCTCCAAACAGAGAGGACGAATATGCTAGACAACTGCGGATCCACGTGTCATTGGCACATCAGCAACACAAGGACTCCCAATGCCATTGTCATTGTCAGTCACCAATTGCTGTTGATCTTGGCAAAATTATGGCACTCCTTCAGTACTTTTGAACACACCAAAAGAAGCTGTAGTCCCAAAACAAAACCGCAGCACATACCAATACTGGTGTAAGGCGTCTCGGTTGGCCCACCTTGCTTTACAACCAGAGTCTCGGATCAGACATTTCCTCTGAATTGGGCCTCTTGCGAAGCCTCTCAAAAATACGTGGATTGCCTTTTGCATCCGAAAATGATGAGGATTACAAATGGCGAAGGATGGATTGCAAAACTGGATACCCATACAGCTTTTCCCACATCATAGGTACAATATACCAGGTTCTGGGTGAATCCTTGGGATGAACTCGTTTAGTTTCTTTTGTATAGCCTTTGGCCAAAGAAATTGAACAGCATTAATAAATTATAGGACCATTCCGTGATTGAGAACATAAGTGGAAGAGGACAACTTCCAAGTTCGTGGCACGAGAAGTCTCACACAAACATGGAGCTGAATCTTTTGGATACCCCTGAAAGCCACTGCATGTGTGGGACCCAGTTGCCCAGTGGTGTCCTTTTTCCCCTTTTTTGTTTGGGAAGGGTGTCCCTTTAAAGTCAACCAACCAAAAGAAGGGTGCCCTTTTTTCCCATGGCCACTGGGTATCTGAGGGGGGCAGCTGGCCAGGCACCTCCGCTGCCACCACTGGTGCGTCAGTTCGAGAGCACTGAGTCGACCACGCCAGGCCGGGACACATTTGGAAGTTTGTCAACATGCCAAAGATACGGAGAACGGCGTAGCGCTTGTTTGCCATTTACAATGAACATATGCCACGCACTTGGTTGGGCCTGGTTGTCACAAGCTCAGTCATGCAGAGATACACACTGCGCATCGCCGTGTTGCTTTGAAGTAGCTACAGCTTCACGCGAGCCGTTGCTTGTTTCATGAAGCGACAGATCCGCTGAAAAAACGGCGGATGGCGGACACGTGGATCGGGACGAGCGGGGAATAGTTTGGTGCCGAGGCTCCAGTGGGCTTTTCCGACTCGCCGCGCCCCCGCCGAACCAGTGCCGGTCTCAAGCAAGGCCAGCCGTGAATTAGGGTCTGGAGTGACAGAAAGATACAAGGGCCTGACAATGACAAGGTTTCGATCTTCGTGACTTCGCAGACTTGGAGGGTAAAATGAATCCCAGTGAACTCTGGCGCGTTTGCCTCCCATTGTATTCGATGTTCCTTGCGTGGCCGGCTATCAGCAGCCTGGGTTCATGGCCAGAATCGCTTTACTGCTGGGGCTGATCGCTTGATTGGCAGTGGGTCAGGGACGTTCCACCCGCTTGCCTTGTTGTCATTCCTTGGGGAAGCCAACAAAGCTATTTTGCACCAAGTTCTTTGCTCGCGGATGCTAGTTTGCTTGAGTTTGATGTCGTCGTAATTGGGTTGACACAACAATGTGTCATACATCGTCAGCGTTCTCATTTCTCTGAATGCAGTTTCGATTTGTAAGGCTGAAGAGCCATTCATTGCTCATCCCAAGGCCGTAAGGCGAAGGCCGGCCTCTGGGTTGCTGCGGGGTACCGTTCTGGGCTGATGTGTAAGCAAAAAGAAGTACACACTGTATACGATAATTTATAGTATGTGTATATATATATATATGTGGCTTCCGGAATTCAATTTGTTCTTTTTGAATAGGTGGGAGTTTGAGGGTGCTGTGCAGAAATGCTGGGCAGATTCTTGAATGCGCATGCTGAGGTTTGCTGTGGGCTCGAGGACACAGTCACCAGACGCCAGAGTGGTCCGTTCGGCTGTTGTGCTCATGCAATATCAAGAGATTTACCCTTACTTGTACCACAAGAACCACAACTAGGTTCCCCAGTAGTGCCTTTTTACCCTTTTTTGGGGGAGGGTTCCCCTACTAACATAGACTGCAGGAAACAGGGTACCCTTGTGCTAGCCTCTCTACTGGAGGACCTAGACAAGGGCAACCGCCTTTCCGCAAACGGCGTCAAGAGTCGGGCAGCCGTTTGGGACACACGGCCCCAGAAGGTTGATGCTCTGACCTTCGGTGAGGGGACGGCGTCTTCCAGGAATTTGGGGATTTCGCACGTGTGCAAGCAGCTCCAAATTGTCCACCACGCAATGGCAGTAAAACCTCCATTCCTCAGGCTAAAGGGGAGGTCTTTTGCCTTGACCATGCCCGGGAACAGCCGCAAGCAACAGTCATTCTTTGTGTCATGGAAAATCCCCAGAATTAACGGTGTCCTTTGTTCTCTCGGCGAACAAGTTGTCGTGGATCAGAGCAGTATCAAGGGTTGTCACGAGTTGTCGCAGCCTGTCGTGAGTCATGCCATGTATGTTTGCTGCGAATGCAAGTCCATGCAGGCTTCGGGATTATCACAATGGCCGTTTTTGGTCACGCGCCGATGCTGGCCCCCATTTACACAGTCGCCACATACTACGGTGCGGATGTAGCATGGGGATCCATTCGGATAGTTTTGGGCCGGTCTTGTTTGAAAACTGATGTCCATTCCTGGGATGCCATCGCAAACATCCTAGAGCTTTTGCCCGAGCACATTTAGTTTTGAATATCTGCTCTTCAGAAGTGAAGAAGTGACTGTGATTGCAATTCCCACACCCGTTCTTGGTAGGATCCATCCCAGATTGGGTCAGGACTCCGGCCGAGCAGGTTGTGAAGATCGAGACCCTTCAGGCAAGATTTTGGACACACTGGGTGTTTCTTCATATTCATACGCCCCCGTTGTTATTGGGTATGACCCCAAAATCAAAGGGATTAATTAAATCTCCAACCCAACGCAATGACAATGTTGAATACCATTCAACCCCACCCAACATCCATCGGTCCTGAACCAGCCCTCAGATGGCCCTAAGCCAAACACCTGCCACGGCAACATTCTACACCTGGCCCGACCTACCCGAAACACACGGGGCCTAGAAAAATATTGGCACAACACAAGCCCAACCGGAATCAACCTACAAATGTTCCTATCCTAAAGCAAGGCAGAAGCCGCGCACATGGGGGCCGGCAAACCGGTGTATGTGGAGAGCTAGTTCGTTTCTCCCTGATGGTTGCCCTAAGTAGTCAAAACTGTTGATGCCATGGTTTGTTGACAATGACTGAACATGAGCAACCTGGCCCCTTTTTGTAAGAGCTAGTCCGGGCACTTTGTGCCACCTGTTTAGCACACTCCACCCCTGAAACACTGTTCCTTGTTATCCTTCATTTGTGAAAGCCAGCCAAGGTCCTGGGAGCGCATGTCCGTTGTGCACGCCTATATCCTTTGTAGCGAGGCCGCCTTTGCAGGAAACATGCTTGGGTCGGGAATTCCAGGGAATGGTCATGACGTGCAGTAGCTGTAGCGGACGGAGCAAAGAGAAAAGTAGGCGAAGAGGGGAGGCAGGAAGAAGGAAAAAGAACGAAACGAGGAGTTGAGATACCACGCTCGGCGCGGCTTGGTTTCTGATATCCGATTCCGCCAAGCCTAGGAGCAGAAAGCCGCCCCTACGCGATCGAAGGCGGAGGAGGGCAAAGCGGTGAAAATCGGTTCAAGCGGGGGATCACTCAGTCAATTGAGCCATCTTGAGCCCACAGGAAGCCATTTAAATATGGGTCAAAATTAAACCGGATATGGACCGCAGGTTTTAGTCCATGTGTCCCTTTGCCAGGGATTCATCCATTTTGGGGCTACCCTATTTTTGACCCACAGCCATTTAGCCCCAGTTTACCACATGCACCCTTAGCTTTTGACAATAGTGGCACTTCTTGTCAGAAAGATTGTTGCAACTTGTGGCCGCCTTGTTTCTTCCTAAATCAGACAGCCAGGCAGAATGCGCACATGACCTGGCCCACTTGAGGATTTATTTTGGCACATATGTTCTTTGTGTTACCCAGTGACCAAAGTCAGTTTCAACGAATTGCGTGGTTTGCAATCTCAGCAGTTGGCAAGTTGTGTGATTCTGTCTGATCTATCAAGCGGTGCTCCTCTTCAGCTCGAAGCAACGGGACACAGGGGCCAAACCATGACAGCGCATAGCTGCGCTTGGACCTCGCAATACGCTGACTTTCATCCCACACGGTGTGGCGCCTTGAACAGGACTTGACATTCAGGATCCAAGCTCCTTTGGGCAAGTTGTGCCTGGTATGCAACTACTTCCCATGAGTTGGTAGATCAGCTGGGAAGGATGCAATTGTATGAACAGCTGTCCTGCTAACGTACAAATGGGGCTTCGGAACACTATCCCGGTTGAGGCTGAGATTGGCAGCGCTGCTTTCTTCAGCAACAAAGACAGGTGTCCATACCCATGACAGGAAGGGGAGGAGGATTATGGCCCGACTGGCGCTGTGTGGCCTGGTGGCATTGAACTTTTTCAGCGTGGAGTGCAGGTGTTCGGTATTGTTCATTGGTGTGGAGAGCATTTGTCAATTGGGACAGTTCCTAGTACTTCAGGAAGATATTTACTTGTGTACGACTTTCATGGTGTGTGGATTCAAATGCCAAAAAGACTGCCGACAGCAAGCCTTGGCATGCAGAGCACAACTACTGTGCAGTTGCATATCGAGCTTGATTTGGCGCCGAACTGTTGGGGGAAGTTATATCAGCCTGTCATCCATTGTCAAATTGTGGTGCCAGGATGTCTCTCCCCCAAAGAACAATGGTCTTCAAACAAGGAAATGTGTCCAAAACCCGGGGTGCACAATACTAAAGTAGAACAGCCCAATTTGAAGTAGGGGACCCCCTGCTTTCAGTCACGAAGACCAATGAACGAAAAGGCCCTTCTGCTTGAAGCGACAATGATGCTGTTGCCATTGTCAAGACAGCGATTGTCAAGATCTGAGGTTTGTGAACGATGAGGACGCACGGACAGTCTCCAGCTTTATCACAACCAAGAAAGCCGAGCAACCTGAATAGGAACCTCATGTTAAACGGAGCATCTTGTGCACCGGAAGAGGGTCAAAGGCAAGGTGAGCCTCTGAATCGGTTGAGTGGGGTAAACGATTATCGCTGCACAGCTGGCGGGAAGGAAGAGCGTTCTGGTTTGCTGACCGATGGAAGCTTTGCGGGCAGCCCTCTTGGGCAAGGTTTAGCATGTAATGCTCGCAAACACAAGTGCCACACTGGCCTGCTGGGCAAGACGTTTCTTTTGACTGTACCTGTACTTGGCGAGCCTTGCGCGTGACGGTGGTCCAAGTCCAACTTGGATCGATTTGTGGTTGTCTGCCATATCAAGGGACGCCGGTTTCATTCTATGCCCAGCTGCTTTGCTCATTGTTTTCAGGCCCACGGCTTCGGCAGGCGTGTCAACTATGTTTGTTCCAGCCGGTTGGTACCATCAATGTGGATTCTCGAACCCCTTGGAGTTTTGGGTGGCGGGCAGATGTGGTGGTTCCCTTCTTGGAGACGAGTACCTTCACAAGGGTCATGCTCATTGCTTGCTCTGCTCAGATGAGATCAAGGACCCTTAACGGGTGAGCTCGTTGCTTGGCCTTAGCAGGCAAATATCACCTTAGTGATAAATACTAATACGACAAAAAGATGGATCCAAGCCGTTTGGAGCCTCTTGAAAATGCTTGCGTTGTTCCCTAGTTCACGATCACCTTGTCTGTCAGCCTGTTCTCTCACATATGAAAGGTATTCAGCAAGGCTGGCTCCATGCCATCGCACGAACAGTATCTCCGCCAAGGGCCGATCGTAACACGAGGAGTCACTTCTGGGTGCTGGCGCGCCGGCTGCTGTGGCGCCAGGAGAGTGGCCAAAGACTGCGTTCTTAACTTTTGGCACTTCTGGGACACATGGCGGGCTGTGGTTGTCAAAACCAGTGGGATCCCATTTTGGGGTAGGTGAATTCACCACCCATTTTAGGCTTCCTATTTTAGTGGTTGGATTGGGATGTTCACTGGAGGTCCGATTTGGGTTTTGGCCCATGGCCATATCTTCTTTTCTGGGAGGGACAGCGGTGGAGGGACTGTGGGATAGTCCCCCACACGTCACGTTTCCATGGCACAGGGCGCTATATTCAGTTGGGGCATGCCCTCAGCCTTCAGTTGACACGACATTGCAAATCACAGCTCACAGGGAGCCATGCCAGAGGCACAACACAGCTCATTGAGAGGATTGAGGGTGGGGGCAGTGTGAATTCCTGTCCAAAGCAAGGTCCTTTGGGAAAATCAGAATAGCTTTGGCACGTCTGGTTTCGAGGTATGTGCACTACAGGAATGCGTGTTCTGTCTTTGTTCGTCGCTCAGGAGAATCAGCAAGGGAAACATGGGTAGCCTAGAACCAGGTCAGACATGTCGTGTTTTCCGGACTGTCTCTGGGGTAGCCTAGAACCAGGTCTTGGCCTTGAGGCCAAAAGTCCACGCGATCCGCCCGCACGTCCAACGGAGGGCCCTGATTCCCGCACTCATAGGCCGCCTTGTGCGGGAGGTGGACTCTGAGGGAGAGGAGGCGGGAAAGAGAAATGATGCTGTCGTGGTCGAAAATAGGGCAACCCCCAAATGGCTTGCCCTGGTAAATGGAAAGAAGGACTAAAACCTGCGGTCCGGATCCTGGTGCTCTAATTTTGCCCCATACCCAAATGAAACTGAAGAGGTCGTCATTTAAGTGTGTTGCCTTTTGCTTCAGTGCTGTGGAGTCAACTGGAACATGTATGGAAGCCGCTTGGGGGATGCCCAATCGATGAGCAAAAGTTAAGCACCTTGTAGGGCGGTGAGCCTTCTCTTGTATGTGGAGGGTGCCGAGACATGTATAAGGAGATCCTGCGATTGAAAAGTAGAAGGCGTTCTTTGTGCGTGAGCGTGTCGTGGTTGTGCAAACCTGCTCGCCGTCGATGGTTAAGAGTGCCGTGATAAATGTGCCAAAAATGATTTTGATACACATGGTTCGAGATTGCGCTTCAAACATGAAGCTTGTTGAATGGCAGCCAGCATCGGGGATGCGAAAATCGCTCCAATGGTGAGCTCTCCTTGGGCCCTTTTGAGCTTTGCGTGCAAGGTACTGAGTTGGGGCCAATATCCAGTATGGTTTAGGGACCAATGTGGCGAGCCCTTATTATAGCTGCCTTTTGGACTGATGAGTGGATCGATTGATCTTGTTTGTTGAAAGATGCAAGAACAAGATACAGTAGTTAATTAGTTGCTTCAGTTGCTAAGGAGGTCAAGTGGACATGGCTATCACTGCAAAATGGCGAGTCTGCCTATTGCAAATTCAGGAGAGGTAGCTCCACGCTTGGGTATGGCTTTGGCTTATGTGGCAAATGCCTGCAGGTTTGCGTTTTGCTGAATATGCAGTTACATCAGAAGTTCGAAGCAAGGCGACGCTGTGAAATATGTTGAGCGCGCTTAGGGTACACTGTATACTGTGCTCAGTTTACGCTTACAAGACTCTTTTGCCAGCTTGCATGACTATGAGGGAAGGACTGATGTACGCTCGGATACTTGGAGCAGCTCATTAACTTCCACCATACTTGCGCTCCGCTGGACAAAAACGTCCACAAGGGATGTCTGCAGTAGTGAACCGCTGGAATGTCATGAGATGTTTGTGGCCGGTTTGCAGACGAGCAAAACATAAGGGTGATTACAGGACATGTGCTTGGCAATCTTAGCACGGAACGTGTGTACGTGAGGCGCCATACACGTCGATCAGCCAAAGTCGTGCTTTGCTGATGTCGCTGACTCCTTGGGTGGCAACATGAAAAGGATTGAGGCTATCAGCTCATGTTTGCTGAGGCTTGAGAGGTTGGTGCCAGTTCACGTGAGATTTTCTCATTCTCAGCACCTGGGTAGGAAGCAGCGCCTGTGCAGCAGTACAAAGTGCAGGCAGGGTGCGGCGCTTCAAAGGTATGACTTGAGTGGATCTCTATAGATGGACTGAGGATTGCCTTTCAAGATACCTGAATGGAGATTTGCATGGCATGCGGATGCAATGTCTAAGCATCATGCTGATATGTGCTAATTTACTAAAAACAACAAATGTCTGAGATCATTTGAGCGAGGTTTGCTCATCGCTTCCAACGTCAAAGACGTGATCCCAGTAGGTGTATCCATCCCATTCATTTTTGCTGGCTCAGGTTGCATTGTTTGGGAGCATGCTTCCACGAGACAAACACATATGCAAGATTGCTCCACACTAAGAAACGTCAATCCACCGTGTTTTGTCCCGTGATCTGCGATCCATCAGTGTTTTGTAGAATAGCAATAGTTCAGTTTGCCACGGAATGGGCCGGTGTCCTTTTGCTGGTCATTCAAACAGATTCCTAAATTTAACAGGGGGCTACATTTTTATGGGCGACACTCCCATATGCCCGAGTGCTCTCACAAGCATTCATGGGTTTCAGTCAGGTTACAGTTCCAGAACAAGTGGAGCTACCGCCTCCTCGGCCGCTAGAGCTGCAGAAGGCTGAATGGGATGTTTGGGAACGTGCAAAGTGGGGATGCAGAGATTCGTTCTTACAATCACTGTTCCTGTATGATCTATTGGATTCTCTTGGGGGAGTTCTCGTGGCTTGAAATGTTTGCTTTAAACATGTATCATTGTCCAGCCAATCCGAATCTGGTTTCCGGTCATGTTTAAGCACTTGGATGGCCTCACCTGGGATTCTGATAGGCGCGACCTAGCCCTCATTCCCAAATCGCAGGCTCAAAGTTCAGCCATCCCAATGTCTCCTCATGGCTCCGCCCACATCTTGTCAACTGAAGCTCTCGACACAAGCCAAACAACTGCTGGTTGCTCTTGGTGGCTTCTTTGTTGCCCTGGGTATGGAATTGTTGTGGCATGTGATCAAGGGTTGCATGGCAATCCAGATCCAGTCCATGCCGTGAGCCGCACACGCAGGAGGCAGAACCTGTGGTGGTGCCGGAAGAAGAGGCAGCGGCAGGGGTCGAAGACTTTGACGGACAGCAGAAGCCGCTGCAGGCCTTAGCAAGGTCTAAGAAAAGAAGTCGCAGACAAGTACCCAGTTGCCCAGTGGTGCCCAGTTTTCCCATGGCCACTGGGCATTTGAGGTCTGACAGTCTAAAACAAGACCTCGCAGACAAGTACCCTTCCTCCAACTAACATGGCACCTGCAAACGCAACTTGTGTACGGGCATTGAGTCAGTGAGTTGCAGCTGTAGATGTCGATGTTCTATTGTGTGTGAGGAGTAAGGATATGATGTGGCATTGCCTTGTGTTTGATAGCACGACCGAGCAGCTAGCCTTAGCATCAAGCAACCTTTAGACAAATAGCACCATGCAAGCCATATGAAGGAAGCCCACCTTTTTGCAGATCCCCGAATTTTGAGACATATCCATATGGGTGTGTAATTTTATGTTAGACCCCCATTTCAGTGGTCTTTTGGTTTCCCTTCACCCAGAAGTCCTTTTCGCTATTCCACGCAGGCCTTCGTCGAGCCGCCGCCAGTACCGGTGCAGGAGACTTGCCGAGCGCAGAGCGCAGCCAGCCTTCGCTACCTCGCCATGTCTGGTAGAGTTGTTTGGTACGGTAATATGTCAATATTTGTCTTTGCCTTTTCTAGTGTGCCAAGATTTGTGTGTGAAGCTTGTCATGCTTGGTAGAGTACTCATTTGCGAATGGCGAGACATGATACATGGGCTCTCTGACTACACTTGCAGTGTAGCGCACGGTACTTTCATGAAGCATCGATGTAACCTCGCTAACTTGCATGTGCACCCTCGCTAAGACTACGCACTCTGCCTATCGCGCTTTGATTGCTTGCTGTGTGTTTGCATTTGCACGCGTAATCTATGTTGGATGCTTGGCGCTGTTTTGTTGCAGTCGCCCTGGACCTCGTTTACAATTCTTCATGGTCACGGACGTGACCTTTCACTGCTCTCCTTGTAGGAGGCTGCACGCCGTGATGCCAGCTGCGTTTGAGATGCTTCAGCAGCGTCAACAGTGTTGTTGTTTTTTTTAATGTTGATTTAGGGACTGCAATGACTGCAGCATGTCGAGGCAGGGCTAACGCGGAACCAACCTCACAGCTGTGCATGGGTGGTGCTGCAAAGTGTGCAATGCCGGTGATGCTGTGTTTTGTTGTGTGGTTTCTTTTGCGGTATTTGTGACTTGTGTATAAGTAGTTGTTTGTCTTTGTGGGTGTGCCTGGTTGTATTTGACTACAGCATGGTTTGTTTCCGTTTGTGGTTGTACTCATTTGCATTGGTGTTTGTCTTTGTATGTGTGTGTGTGTGTGTGTGCTTGAGTGTTACCTTGAAAGGCCTTGAAATTAGTACGCGGCGATGATAGGCCAGGCGCCTGCACAGGACGACCGTTACTCTCTTGCAAATGTACACGCGCCTGCTTACCGCAGGCTTCGAGCAGCATTCCGCCCAGGTTTCCCGCAAGCAGAGTGTGAGCAGTCCCCTGGACGTGTCGATGCGTAAACTGTAAGCTCTGGGAGGACTTCCGATTCTGCAAGACTGTGCGCAGTGCTACGTGGGCTCAGTTGAGCGGGTGTGACGCTGCACAGGCTCACTGGGGCGTGTGTGCTTATCAAGTGGGGTGAGCGGAGCGCTGTGCGGACGCAGTTGAGTGGGTGTGATGGTCCTTTGGCAAGCATGCACGACGCGCAGGCTAGTTGAGCAGGTGCGATGCTGGGCAGGCATGTGCGCAGTGCTGCCCAGGCCCACTTGAATGCAGTGATGCGCAATGCAAATGAGTCGCAGAACGTGCCAACGTCAATTGCGCACGTTTAAGTTAGTGCTGGCCAGTGCTGGGTTTGCAACGCGCGCCAGTGACTCGCCGGATACGCGAGCAAACGAGTCGCCTAGTCCGCATGGGAAGAATGTGGCAAGAGGGCATGCGTCATGCTTGAATCCAAGATGCCATTTGTAGCTGGCGGCTACATGCTTGATTGATTCCTCTGGCTAGACAGGATGAAGACCAATTGACATTTATAAAGCAATAAGTTGGACGGGAGTTACTGCGTCGTCTACATTTTGTAGCAGAGGGCTTGAGCCCAACTTCCTCCAACTTCCCGGCCAGGACCGAGGGGAGAACCGCTTGAAGCTCGCAAAGAACCTAGCTTCAGCTCAATCATCTCCTGCGGCTACACCAGGGCTGAGCGCACCTGCCCCCACGCCAGCACGAGCCGCCGGGGAATCGCTGGCCTCACCGGCGCTCACCGTTCCGGCGCCCACACCAACGGGAATTCCCGGGCAATCGCTGTCACCATCACCTGCACTAAAGGCAGTGCTGCCAACACCGGCACAAGCATCGGTACCAACCGCAGCATTGGCCACAGCGACGACGTCTCCGGCGGGGCACTTGATTTTGGGGGATTTGCTTGGAGGCCGTGCTGTTTGTTTTGGGCTCGGCAAGCCGATCGTTGAGGAGCTATGGCCCTGCGATTCATGCAGCCTATAGTGAACGGCAAGAATCGACCTGGTGCCCATTGCACCCCTGACCACTGCTTGCTGAATATGAAGACGACAGTCAAGATCTCTTTGCCCCTGCCTGTAGAGCCAAGAGGTCTTGCGTAAGGAGTTGCTCCAATGATATGTCAAATGTCTACTGTATAATGCTTACGATATATATATATATACACATATGTATATAATGTATGTGATGACCAAGCACTCATGGCTTATAAGGTCGTTGTCAAGGGACAAGCTTGCTATGATGCAGTTGTTGAGCAAGTTTGATTTATAGCTCCCGGAATCACTTGGTTAGGACTTGTGAATTGTTGTCCAATGCTTCTGGAGGCTCCCAAATAGTGCTGGAAGTCTACCGCCTAGATGAAGATGTCCTTGATTGACCGTTCTTGGACATGTGAACCGATTAGAGTGCGTTCAGAATCATCTCGTAGTTGATGTACCATCGGGGAGGTTCCAGCTAGGAGTCCCAGCTTAAATGCAAGCCACCCTGCTCAGAATCGAGGAGGTTGATTACCCTCCCACCAACTAACATGGAAGTGCAACAAGGCCCTTTCCAACAAAAAGTAGTCTTTTTACACGGGTCTGTGCACTTCCCTGTTAGCTGGTGCGTTCAAAAAGGGTACTTTTCAGTGGCCAGGGATTGACCGTTCCAAGGCCAAGAGTCTGCTTCTGGGCAGCAAGGCAGTTGGAAGCTTCGCAGCTGTCGTGCTGTCTGAACCCGTTTCCTGTGTGGTGTTGGCACTAGTGACTTGTCTGTGATCCAATCCCCAACCGCTGAAAGCTTTGGGGCCTCAGCCCAGATAGGCTCCGGGGTGGTCCGGGGCGGCCCTGAGGTAGGGTTCCACGAGGGTTCCACCAGGGTTCCACCAGGGTTGCACGAGGGTTCCACGAGGTTCTGCGAGGGCTGCCGAGCACTAAAAAGAGCACCGCATGCTGTTGGGGATATCGCCTGAGCTTTTTTTTTGCCAGGACACTCCTTGGTCGCAGGTTGGAATTTGTGGTTCCCCTCAGGTGTTGGGGATGGAGCCCAGTTCCCAACGGACTGGCGACGCCAGACATTCCCCTTCAAACCACGAGAGCAAATTCAACAAGTGCCAACAATATGTTCAGTCCTTGGAAGCCTAGAAGTGTTTAGAAGTGTTCTCCTCAATTGAGCCACAATCAAAACCCGGGTGGATGAAGGTTAGTAAGGGAGGATCCCAACCATGAATAGCTGCGGCCGCCTTCTTAATCCTGTACATGGTTCTGGGTAGACCATTTTAGTACCAGGTTTTGATTGCGACTCAATTGTTTGATTGGAATGCTGGATGGATTCCAGGTCACCGCAATACTTGCATGGCATGCCAGATCAGAAACCCGACGTATTACTGTATGATTAGTGAACTACCCGATGTAAAGTAGCGCAAAATGAACTTGGGCAACAGTTTGCATTGTTTTGAGCATGGCTTGATATTAAGCAAGATCTTGCTCAGAAACAGAAACAGCAGATACCCTATCCTTCTGCAGCACGATTCTTGGAGTGTGGACAGGCATGATCAAAGTGGCTCTTGACAGGTTGACGAGCTGTGTCAGAAGTTACAACCACCCGTGTGCGGAACATTGCCCTTTGTGATACCAAGTTCCTGTCATTGGCATCATGCGCGTAGGCGTCAACACTGGAAGCAACCTTCTCTTTGTTAGCCTTTAAAGCTCACCGCAGACTCAAAGCAGTGTGTTTGAGGAAGCCCTGATGCGTTACTTTTGTTGCAGACGATTGCAGACGCAAAAGGAGTGGTGGACTGTTGCTCTTTGGAAAAGCTCTTCGCCGAGGCCGATAATACCTGGGCAAGTCCAGAGCTTTCGCATTGTCGTGCACGGGCCTCGTGCACTTGCGGGCATTCCTAGCTGGCTGGTGCTGATTCAATGAAGGATCAGAGGAACAGGAAGGAGCGAGGGAACACAGTAAAAAGCGAAAGGGAGGCCTGGCTCAGGGAAGGAGGGAGGGAGGGAGGGAGGGAGGGAGGGAGAGAGGGAGAGAGGGAGAGAGGGAGAGAGGGCAAGAAGGAAGAAAGGAAGAAAGGAAGAAAGGAAGGAAGAAAGAAAGGAGGGAGGGAGGGAAGGGAAGGAAGGATTGAACGGACACATGGAAAGGAAACAAGGAACGCAGAAAGCAAGGCAAGGAGGAAAGCCAGAAAGAAGAAAGCAAAACAGGCAAGAAGGAAAGGAGGAAAGAAGGAAGGAAAGGAAAAGAGTATTGCAGGCAGGTTGTAACAGGTTCCCAGCACATTTCAAGATTTGACCTCCTCTCAATCATCCCAGCTGCTGATTTCCGAGTGCTCTGAGCAAAGTTTGGACCACACATTGTAGGATCCTGAGCTTATTGAACTTATTGGTTTGAGATACTTACTAGCCAGTTACACCATAGATTTACATACCCGCCCTCGGAGCCCCCTTCTTTCTTTCATAAATGAAGCACTCAAGGCAAAAGGCGGAACCCAGAATGTGCTACCCACCAGATTCTGGTAGCTGGAGGCAGGTGCTGAAACGGGGGGCGGGGGGGGGGGGAAGGTGCGTAAAACCCAAGTTTTGCAGCAAGCCTCAGAATTCCATAACTATGGATTGCTGCCTCGAAGGAGGGAGCTGTTTGACCTTGAACTGTCGTGTTGGGCTTGTTTGGCCAGAGCTTTACAGGCCGTCTTAAGCCAGGAAATGCAAGAATCGAATAAAAGCCATCAACTGCAATGTGTGCCTGGATAGCAGCCATTAGCAGCTAAGAGCAGCTATTTGTCCATCAAGACCCACGGTTCAAGGAAGGGTCGTTGACGTATAGTTAAAACACGGTGACCTCAGCGGAGGAAAGCTCTCTGATCCATTTGGGCCATGCCAGAGTGCTTTATAGCCGGATGTGTGTCCATAGGCAAAATCGCTGCCAATGTTAGAGCCTCGCAGCTTGGATCATGGGCCAGTCATGGCGTCTCGTTTGGTCTCCGACGTGGCGAGAGAAGACGGGTTCCGCTTGCATCAGCCCTTCCAGGCCGCAGCCCTTCCCCGGAGTACAGCTGGGAGCTCAGCTGCGCGCGAGAGAGGCGTTCTTGACTTTTCGTGCTGGACAAATATGGCCATGGGTCAAAATCCAAATCGTACCCCCAGTAAACATCGCAATCCCCACTAAAATAGACTAAAATGGGTGGTGCACCTACCCAAACATGGTACCATTGGTTCTGACTCACCGCCATATGCACTTCTCGTGAAATCCCGTACCCCCAGTGAACATCCCAATCCCCACTAAAATAGACCAAAATGGGTGGTGCTCCTACCATTGGTTTTGACCCACAGCCATAGTATGCCACGGAGCATGCCGATTTATGAAATTACAGGTTGGATCGGGCCCCACAAAGCAGAAGACGCTCGATCAATTGGCTCAATTGGCCAGAGGCGCCGTATCCATGTTGATGAGATGCGACACCCCTGTCCATCAACAAAAGGCATGAGCTGCCTATTCACATTTGATTGTGCAGATTCCGATCGTTATAATATTTTTTGATGTTGGGCTGCGAGAGCGTGTGTTTCTACGCAAAGGTTCAGAAGTGGTTGGTTTTTTGATGAGGGCTTGATCTGAGCTGTACGCCATTGGGCAGGGAAGATCAGTACAGAAGGATCGATGTATCTCATTCTGGCTGGATGATATTGCTTGTTTAGTTCGCCTACTTAACACCACTGCACATGTCCTTGCATTTGCCATGCTTGAGAAGATAAACAACAGTCGTGCTGCTTTGCCGAGATGTGAGGAGAATGTCCGGGTTTCAACATTCAGATTACTTAAAAGGCAGCTGCTGTGGTGTACCCGGAAACTATTGTTTCACAAAATCAGTGCTGACCCGTTTATTTCAAGCCGTCATGCAAAGGATCCGCAAGTCGCCTAACTTGGACGACAAGCACGACCGGTTCCTGCAGGAGCGTTTTGGTTCTGGTTTGAGCAACTGAGTGCATTCCCTTTGGTTTGTGGCTGGTTTGGGAAGACAAGAGGGATCGCCAACGGCCAATGTCCCAAAAAAGACCCAGCGCAGACAAAGTAAAGTCAGGGGGACAGCCCATTCAGTCCCTGTTCCATGTGGGGGCGTATGGGTGCCTCTCAGAATAGTGCTGCCCCAAAACAGTTGGTTTCCTTCTGGTTTTCCTTCCACTCCAACCAAAGGGTGTCCGCCATTTTGAGAACCTCCCGCATGGAGAAGCCAGTACTCGTCCAGGGGTTGATTCCCCACTCTTTTTAATCATCGTGCTTTCCAAAAACCGGCCGTTTTCCCTGGGTGTCCGGAGGTTTTCTGGAAAGAAGGATCCCTGGAAAAAATGGGGAAGGTACCCCTAGAACTCTTGCTTGCGCTTATGTGGGTAAGCTGTGAGCCAACGCAGAGCAGTTCTTCAGCCATGCAATTGACTGTCGCAGCGAGAGGTGGTGCAAACATCAGGTTTTGTTTTTGAGCTTTCTTTTGCTCCCTGAAGCAACAAAACCCCACATTAACATGGCCGCCAACTTGGCCATACTGAGAAACCGTTTGAATCGGACAGATCGGTGTGCCAAGCTGTTTGATAGAGGAAGGAGCAGCAAGGGTTGCAGGCAAAGGTAGGCCCGACAAGTCTAAGTCACCTCTCGCTTACACAACCAGCTTGCAACCCGTGGTGCATGTACGTGTGTGTATATTTATATTGTATATAGTTATATATATATATATATATTAGAGATACACAATCATAGCCGTCAATTGGTTTTGCCCGAGTGCCACTGTGTGCAGCCTTTCTGAACTGGGGGCCGGCTAGGAGCCCATTTTACGGAACGCATTTGTGGACTGCCCATACACGCAAATTGTCGGTGTTCCCTTGAGGAGGAGTCATGCCATGTGTGTTTCGGCGCAATGTGCATATTTCAGATGTGTGTGGATTGAAATCTCTGGCATCACCCAAACCAGCGCTGTTGCTCTACCATAATGTTCTCCACCTCTGTCTAGGTTCTCTAGGAGAGCGGATTTGCGCAGCATATGTCGCCGTTTAAAACTGAAGTGTCCATGTTGATACAGGACATACGCAGTGACTGTTTGGCCAGGCCCAGTATGCCCATTCCAGATGGACAGCTCGCCAAGCAGATGTTAACAAATTCGAACAGCCGACCTTCTCACACAAAGCCCGAGATTTTGCCCAAAGGAGCCAGGGAGTCTTGTTCATTGTGGCTTGTCATCCTGTGTGGACCCCTTGTGCCTCGGCACTCTGGAGAGGATAGCCTCGGAGCCGTATCAGGTTGGAGAAGAGTCGAGCTGTTGCTTGCATATCCATTGGCCATCGATGCATAGATTTAAAGTGATCGCCCCTTTCTTGGGGGCTCCTTGAAAGATACGTTTGCAACCATTTGAAACATGGCTTTTTCCACCAAATTAAAGGGAAACCACCATATACAAGGCAATGTTCAGGTGTATAATGTAAGGATCCCTGTTGGGTGTGTATGATAGCACAGCTCCTTGCGCATAGAGGGTCCGCAATCCAACACTTCAAACGAACGAGGAAGGACATGATTGGGTGCACAGGACGGTAAATTCGTCACTGGAAAGGCGGGCTGGGCGCGGAAGACGTTATGGCATGGGCGTGGGTCAAAAATAGGTACCCCAAATGGCTTGCCCTGGTGGAAGCAATGACGAAAACCAGTGGTTTGCTCGTGGCTTCATTTTGAACCATACCCATATTTGTTTGCTTGTTTTCCTGAGAACTGAGGGTGCTTCTATGGGAGTGGCACTGGCGCATCTCGTTCTGCTCTCAACCACTAGGTTCAAGTTTGTCCTTGACAGATTTTCCCCATTTGATGGGAGTCCTTTTGTGTATTGCGGCATTTGTTTTACTATGGGCCGCATCACGAGTTGCATATCTCACGGAGTCTGAAGGCTTACTTGTGTCGCATATCTCTAGTGGACATGGCACATGGCGCTGCCCTTTTGGCGCATCAGCAAAAAGCCTCGCTTGAGTGGACAGAGCCTTCAGGTTGCGTGATGGCTCAGGGGCTTTGCCGAAACCCATGTCCAGTCACAAGTGCAGTTGGGACAACCTCGCATTTCTACTTGCACTCGTCCAATACTGTGAGGGTTGGATGCCTGCAGGCAGCATGGGTATGGTGGGTCAATATCCCGTACCCCCAGTGAACATCCCAACCCAACCACTAAAATAGGAAGCCTAAAATGGGTGGTGAATTCACCTACTAGTACCAACCAAAACGGGATCCCATATGTTTTGACAACCACAGCCATGTGGCGAGCATCGTAACTGCCAGGTCGATACTTCTGGGCAGTGGGTGAAGCTGTCCAACAAGCACTACCTACCGGTGCAGGCTTGCGCTTCTCGTGTCACAGTTTCTTTGAGGGGGGGGGCTTCATCCTGCCGGATCACACATTCCTTGGTGGCTCCCAGCCATCCGGTTCCTTAGCCTTTGAGCCTTTCAGGGTTTAGTGGAGATTTCTATGTAACCCACTGAAAGTCAAGCTTTTAGCAGGGGATCTGAGGGCAGCCCAGATTCCACGTCCCCTTTGTTCTTTTTTGGGCGAGCAGGCTGGGGCCACCAGCCTCGCATCCTTGAGATCTCGCTTCGCTCATCCAACTTCCCGGCGTCCAGCGGTGCGATTTTTTGTCCATCTGAGTCACAATCAAACCCGGATAAGTGAAGGTTAGTAAGGAACAGTCCCAGCCATAAATAGTTGCGGCCGCGTTCTTAATTCTTTACATGGTTCTGGGTCGACCATTTTAATACCAGGTTTTGATTGTCACTCATCTGGTTCCCCAGCAAGACGCCACACGGTGTTCCCTTCGCTGCCTATGGCTACTGAGCAATCAGGGTGACTCACGCTAATAAGAGGCTTCGATCTTGGTGTTCGAGAAGTAACTTAGCAGCTCTCGATCGAGGTTTCTCTAGGTGTTGCGGGTTTTGCTCTCAAAGTGGATGGTGTGCTTTCGACCCCCTCTGCAACCCACGCTGGCAGTTCCCGCTTTGAGGCATCCCTTTGGGTAAAAGGGCTGGGGTACGTAGTACGTACCATGAAACACACACTAGCGACGGTTTGCCCTGTCATGTGAAAGTTGACAAAGTTAGGGTCGCAGTGAACAGCCGTCCAAGAACAGCCAGCTGCTTCATTTGAAAAAGATGCTGCCAAGAGGGTCGACACATGATTTTGTTGTGGTGTGTGACGTGTGTGGCTCAGGTTGATTTAGTTTGTGTTGCTTTGATTTAATTTTATTTGTTTGGATTTGGTTTGACGTGTGTGTGTGTGTGTGCTGCGTCGTTTTTGTGGGTGTGCGGCTTGAGTTATTTTGTTTATTCTGGTATTCGTCCAGTTGTTTGATTTTTTGTTTGTCCTCTCGCTCGTTTGTTGCTTGGTGGGTTGATGCTTGGTTGCGGTGCTGTTTGTTTGATTCTTATTTGGTTGGCGTTCATGTGTGTGTGTGTGGGTTGGGTGCTCGATTGTTTGTATGTATAGATGCGTTTGTGTGCATACGCAAATGTGTATGTTTTGTTTGTTTGTTTGTCCGTTCATTTGTACAGCGTACCTTATTCATGCTTTTGGTAGTGTTTGTGCCTGAAACTTACATTGGAAAAAGCATGGTTCTATGCCAATGTCCCTTTTGTGCCTGCGTTTTGCAAGTTGTGGTGCCCTGAAACGCCCCTGACTCCAGATTCCTTGGTCGTAACGGATTTTCAGATTTCAAGCCATTAATTCCAGATTTGAGATGTCCTGAACATGTGATGTTCAATCAGCTGAAGGGGCCGGAGTCTTGCGTCACAGCCCAGAATTTAATCTAGCTGCAGGGCATGGTTGGCGCAACTCAACAGCAAAGGGCGGTTTTCAAATGCAGGGCAAGTTTCGCATTGGATGCAACAAAGATGATACAAAAGACATGAACCGACACTTCAACATGCCCTCAAGCGAAACCAGGCGAATGAAGATGTTTCCACAAACATGTGAACCCTGGCTCTCACATCGTTCGGTTTGCCGCCTGCCAGAACATCGTTGCTTTGCTTGCCAGCGCAAACTGTTCACCACCTCTGCTGGTGCGCTGGTCAGTAATGCTGGTCAGTGATGGACGCGTTGAGCGCTTCTTGCAGCTAAATAAGTTGTGTTCAACAGCTTGTAGCTATCCGCTGAAGGTTCAAGGCAGCAACTTGGTGTGGCTTGCAAAGAAGAACAACAGTAGATTGATCCATCCGAGCGATTGCAAGCAGCATGAGTTTCGGACACAAAGAGAGATTGTGGCCAGAGTCGGAAAAAACTAAAAGAAGAGGCAAAAAAAACATTGCTCAGCTGAATGATGCCAACACTTTTGAGGTTAGCTGGTCTTATGTCAAAGGGACGTGTAGCGCATTGGCATTTGCCAGTCTTTCAAGTCGAGCCATGGACGACGCGGGTGGCTTTCTCGGCAAGCTAGACGACTGCCAGAAACACGAGCTGGTTGGTCGGGCATTGCAGGCGCTGAATGGCGACCAGCTCCTTGGATATGCCTTGATCCTTCAGCTTGCTTTTGGTGGCCGTATGCCAAAATGAACTGTACCATTTGGGAGATGGCTTAGGGAATCCACATGAAGCTACAGGTTGGCACATCACGAAATTTGCGTTTGACTGATGCGTTGTTTGGCTTCGTGCTGCTGTGGGCTGTTCGCCTGCGGCTCGAGTCTTGGCTGCATAGCAGGGAAGAAGAAATTGGCAGAATGACCCGCACATTCGCCGTCAACCAGCCAATGTCGGCCCAGGTGGGATGAACTGCTGAAGGCGATGACAAAGGAACGCAGTGCTGAGCGAGCGATCAACTTCAGGGACCTCTCCGGGCATGCGGTTGAGTCAGGCGCCCAATGCAGCTGCAAGGAGTTAGGACTTCATGTCAGCAGCCATCAACTTCATGTGGTTGTGGGTCAAAATGAAACCACCAGGGGACCGCAGGTTTTAGTCCATGTTTCCATTTACCAGGGTTCCATTTTGGGAACCTATGTTTGACCCAGAACCATGTTTCCATCAGCCTCCTCATCCTCCTTCGTCGGATCGTTATCATCACCATCACCACCACCACCACCATCATTGTCCTGTTTTGCAAGGGTGCCGACATGGGATAGAATTAGTCATATGCCACTTGTCAGCGCGGGGGTGTCCATTTGTCTGATTTCTTTCCTCCGCGCTAGGGGGGAAGACTTTGTGAATATGTCAAAGCAAGGGGCACATTCAGACATGTGCTTAGTGGCTTCTCTTTGTCAGTTGCCTCTCTGTCTATGTCTTTGTTTGCGTGTGTGTGTGTGTGTGTGTGTGTGTGTGTGTTTTGTTGTATCAGTCTCCATTTGTTCGTGTTTGTCTCTGTCTCTGCCTCTGGCCGTCTCTGTCAGCCTTCCTGGCTGCCTGTCCGTCTTTACCTGGCCTGTCTGTCTTACCTGGCTGCCTGCCTGTCTGGCTGCCTGCCTGCCTGCCTGCCTGCCTGCCTTTGCCTGCTCGCTTTGGTTGGTTCCTTGACAGGCTGGCTGCTTGGTTTGTGTTGAGCGGCTTGAGCTTCTTCTCACAGCTGCATGTCAGTTCCTTGTTTTGACACGTCTCCATGGCTGATTTGTGCCAAGATCAACAAGGCTCCTTAAAAGATACAGTTTGCCCATTTGAAACATGGCTTTTTCCACCAAAGTAAAGGGAAACACCATTTACAAGGCAATGTTCAGGTGTATAATGTAAGGATCCCTGATCAACTTTTTTACTTGATGACTTGAAATGATATGCTTCGGGTAGCTGACAAGCGCGGAGGCTATTGTTGAGAGCGACCGCCATGCTGCACAGCATGTTGTGCCACGGCCATGTTGAACATTGCATGGCACCTCTGAGAACCGGCTGAGGCGCAGGACACGAGGTCAATCCCAAACTTGTCGCTACTGTTTGTTATCGCATCGCATTGAATGGTTTGGTACAAGTGCCAGGGATCCATCAGGTGTCCTCCGAGCCTGAAATCCCAAGTTGACCATGCTGTCATGTGAGGCAGGGCGGTTGTGCTATCAAACAAGTGGTGTTTCAGAAAAAAAAGATAATGGAGAAAGCTGCCCTTTGTCATTCCACAGCTGTCAAGACTCCCAGGAATCAGGTGCCGCAAATCAAAGAGAACCGCCTGTAGCAAGTGGCAGCGTCCGAGTTTCATCATTAGAGTCAGTTTCATTTTCAGGCATATGGTATTTGGTCAAAAGCCATTGGCCCCTGCAAGACATGATTGTCTTGTTCTGTTCACTTCAACCATAGTCCAACCTACAAGAGGAGTTTGCGCAGGTCGAATTCAGGGAAGCAGCCCTTTGTGGGCTGAGGGGCTGAGGTTGAGGCTGCCGCCCTTCCACACCCTGTTCCGCGCCAAGCAGCAGATCCTTGAGAAGGCCGACGGCTTCCTGCCTAAGGTGGACACTCGGCCCTGAGAGAGGTGGCGAGTCGGGGAGTCCCGAACCGCCAACGCGGCACAAAGGGGCCGTCCAAAGCTTTGGCCTGCAATCGCCCTGGGTGAGATCGCTTTTTGTGTTTTTCTTTTCGGGCAGCTGGGTGTGGCTCAAAATTGAAGAGCCAGGGTTACGCAGGCTTTAGTTGGCTCCATCTACCCAGGTGCATTTTGGGCTCCATGTTTTTGAGCCACAGCCATTTGTCAACTGAGCTAAAAAGAGGTCGGGCCCTGAGACATTGTTTTGGTAAGGAAAGCGCCAGCCGGCGTGAAGTGCAATTCTTCGCCGGCAACTCCATGCTTCCAGAACACATGCTGGCTGCAATGCTGCCGGAGGAGGTATCCATGGTGTTTTCGGTTCTTCCCAGGTGCATGCCAGCATCACGTAGCAGCTGGGGGACAGAGCCTGGCACATCGGACTTTGACATCTTCGACGTGGGAGAGCTGTCAGATGCCAGCATTTGATCTTGTTACGCTTTGAGCCTTTAGGACCACCGCCTGAGACTGAATACCAAATTTGCCGCTGGTTCGTGTTCGGCATGGCAAAACCTTGGGTTGCTCATTCATGGTGGACGGACAGCCATACTCTAGGAGCTTTGTTGGTGACCATGATGCATATTGGAATCTTCATACCCACAACCAGTATGCACAGGAGGATTGGCCAGCTTTCAGATACCGAGTCCTGCGTCTCTTGGCGAGTGAGCATGCAGAAATGCTGGGTGTGCCTAAGTACAGGCGGCATGCCCAGATTGCGGAGTCACCCTGTCAACTGCGCAACGCCGTGGAACCTTGAACGCATGTGCGAGGCTACATCGTGACCAAGAAATGTTGCGCGTGTGAGCCGGGCTGGGAGCTACAAATAGTTTAAGAAACAGTTGGTTTGTGCAGCCCCGTTACCCCTTGCCCCAAGGCTACCCCTTCTAAGATATCCAATTCAAGCAGCGAGGAGCATGGATCGGTTTCATTTTGCCATTTGGAAAGGGCCAAGCTGGCCAAGCCACATTGACATGGAGCATTCCATGTTCAGCACCTTTCCAGCTGAAATGAGTGTGATCATTGCGCAGATTTCATTCGGAAGGGCGAGTGAGCTTCCGCAGAGTTGTCTGCCGTGGTCAAGAAACAAACCACGCGTTGGATCCCAGAATTGGAATCTGGAATGCGTCTCGAGGTGGGCCAAATCCAGGTGCTGCACGTTGTGGATCCTCAGGCAGGGAGCTTAGGGAAAATACATCGTAGGAGTTGTGCTAGGGGCGAGGCGTGCAGCATGCATAGCCTTACTGTCACCGAACAAACAGATCTTGACTAAGACACTTTGAGGCAGATATGGGGAGTTGGCGCTTTTCACTTGTGCTTGCCGTGCTTGTAACTAGTGGTCGCATCATGCAAGTCAATTTTAAAGCAAGCTCTCAACTCTCAAATAGCAAAGGATTTGCGGAGTGGATTACTGTAGTGGCATGCGCATCAAACGAGTCTGTCCCAACGCCTTGCGTGCAAAGCTTGGGAAAAGAAAAAGCTGTCCATTTGCTTGAGACACTCATCAATTGGCCAGCTGGTCGTGAACCCTTTAAACAATCTTAGATGCGACTGAATTGTCCAGCACAGATAAGTCCAAGCGCAGTATTCACCCCTGCTCGGTCAAGACCCATGCACAGTACATTCAGGATCATGTGGGCAACGTACATGTTTGCACCGTATTGGACATGGTTCGCAGGACTGCCTTGAATCGGTACGGCCTATGGCGAGTGCATCAAGACATCTCAGATGTTGTAAAAGGGAACTGGTAGATATATATATATATATATATACGTCAGTTAAACTTAGGCAGACGCAGTCAATTTGAAGGTGACACTTCACCTTGTTACCTGGCCAGCCGTCATGCTCCTCTCGCTTGAGATCTAGAGCCCTTGCACCTCCGAGAAAAGTCAATCTGAGTTCAGTGGCAGGAGCTTCTGTGTCCTCCGTATGAGACGGACTCGGAATCGGGCAAGTTGCTCAGCATTGAGAAACCCTCCTGGGGAGCATGCAATGAGATGCAGACGCGGAGAGTGGTAAACCTTTGGTGGCCAAGCTGATGCAGTTTAGCAAAACACGAGGAGACAGACCGAAGCTCGGAAAAGCTCGGCGTCCCCCCAAACGAAGTGACAACTCTGGCTTGAGCTCGCAAAGTCTCCTGCACATATCAACAGCTTGGGGTTTGCTCTGTCATGCTTGCAGCTGCCCTTGCTCAAAAATGACAGGAGGGTGTTGGACAAATCAACTGGCTGACTCTTACAGTGCAAAAAGTTGTTTTTCCTTATTGGCAGTTTGCTACTTCATTTGAGGAAAGGCCTTGACATGTAGGTCCAGGCGCTTCCGGGTACCCGTGTTCATGCCGCTTTTGTGTGGGTCTTTGTTTTTGTTGGAGGGTACCCTTCTTCAGGTTGGTTTAAAGAGAATCCCTGTTTGGACATGTACCCACATGCCTTCAGAAATCATGTAATTGAATTGTTTCCTGAGCCGATGGTAGGCAAACCATCCATAAACTCACCAATTTGTGAGAAAGTCACAGTTCCTCAATTACAGTGTTTACGACTTCCAAAGAAATTGTATCTCTCTGGAATATGTTTTCCTGAGGTGTTGGGGCTTACACCTCAAACAATGTCGAGCTCAAAAGGGCAGATTGCCAGAAGAATGGCAGCAGTTCGTTTTGCGCCTGCACATCAGTTGATGGCCCTGGCCTTTGCTGGTTGAATCGGAGCTTTATTCATGCGATGGGAAATGTATTCTCCCCCTTCTCATGGGCCCTCTTTTAGGCTCCAACACTCCAGCAGTCCTCCATGTTTTTGCTTCCGAGACTCCACGCTGATAAGATTGGGAAACAAACCTGCCCTTCATCCGCGTGTCACCAGACTTATGATGGTGTAATTTGGCCGACTAATATGTTATATATTTAGTTGCGTACAGAACAAATGCGTATAATGCTGACACATGTTAGATATCGTCAATTTGAGCGGCTTGTTGAATCACTGAACGCAATTGCATTCTACATATACAACTCTTTTGTTTTTTTATGTTGAATACTCTGTGCTTTAGCCCGATTTAGTAGGAGTCAACATGGATATGGGGTGACCTGATGATACCGCTGATTTGTTGGGGCCCATGTGGGAAGCTTGAATCCAACAACGTTACATTCTGTCCCGGCACAAACACACTACCAACAACTCGTGTGCCTCTCCGAGTTTGATGCAGCTGCTGGAGCTCTTGACTGTTAACTTGCAGTAAATCTGCAGTACTCCGTGTGTGCAGGTTGCAAGCGTACACAAGCACAAAAGAAATCAATCACATCCGAAGCCCAAAGATTCAAAAGACGCATGCAAAGTGGAGATATGAACAGACACTGACATAGCTAATGATTCAATACTTTCGTGTCCGAAGATCAGGGGCTTGTCCACATGCCAGGATGTACCATCCTCACCTGGTCGCCCCGAGACGGACTCCATTGCCAAGGAGTTTGGGGATAGAAGAAGTGGCGAGGGATCCAGTGACAAGCAGCACTTGGAACGTTTGGACCACGGTTTAGCAATTTGTTGGAGAGCATGGATGGGGGTTGGTAGCTGGGTGGGTTGGGTTGGGTCGGGTCGGGTTGGTGTGGTTTGGTTTGGGTTGGGTTGGGTCGGGTCGGGTCGGGTCGGATTGGTTCGGTTCGGTTCGGTTCGGTTCGGTTTGGGTCGGGTTTTGTTGGTTGGTTGGTTGGTTGGTTGGCGGGAGAGAGCTTTGTTCCAGCCTTGAGGCTTCAGAACATGTACATGCAGCCTGCCAACACCTGTAACTTGTGCATGTCTGGAGAGTTGTGTCTGTGTGTTTTGGTGTAGTGTTTCCTTTGCAGGCCGCACAAAGTTGCCTCACGTTCGCTTGACGCGGCCTTGGCCAATCACCACAAAATACAAGAAGATCATAGAGGCTCCTTTAACCTCGCATGGCCCCATTGCGGCAAGTCCCATCTCTCTTTTGAGGAGGAAGAGGCCAACTTCTGGTGGACGTGCTGCGTGGGGAAGCCTGGCTGGTCTCAGGCCTGACGCGAGTCGTCATGAGCTTTGGCCCCCTCCCGCATGAACAGGTTCGTTTGGTTTGATTGTGAAAGCCAGCACAGATACACATGTGTGTATGCGTGGCGTTTGCCCAGCGTCACTCCCAGAGGCTGTTGCAGAAATCGCCTATGCCTTGGGCATATCATTTGGAACGGCAATGCTTCGTTTGGTCCGAGGGACAGGGTGCGCGCTCGTAGTTGGACAAGGCATCGCCGCACTTGAGCAAAAGTACCTGGGACAAGCCCAGCCTGAGTTTGTTTGATCGCTTCTGCGCAATCATATTGTTGATACAGGTTTATGTTGTTGCAAAGACGAAGCAGGCATATGTTGTTGAACACATTTTCTTACTGCAAGCATGAAGCAGACCGAAGCTTTTGTCGAGATCCCATTCGGGAGCGGCCAGCCAAGGCCGGGCCCGCCGTGACAGCTACAATACAGACCAACGACCTACACGTGGCACCCCAGGAGTGACGGCGGGACTCCGGTGGCCTTTCTCAACGGGAGGAACACCCGTTGAAGGAGACGTGCCGGCAATTTCAAACGCTCATGTTACAAATCACGGGATTGAGAGGATGGGGAAGCTGGGAATTATGCTGATGTCCTTTCAGGAGCGCGGTTGGACACATTGACAGGCATTTCTGCTTGAAACGACCCCTTCAAAATTTGCCTCCGCACGAACCTGATGGTGAAACATGCAGCCGCCAAGCAAGTAGTCTCAATTCACTTTTTGTGCATAGCTTGAGCAGATACAGTAATAGTGGCGTCGTAATCTCTCACCTGATGAATCGGAACCTGATTGCAGGCTCCATCCTTGGAGCAGAACTGCTTGCCAGAAGCGGTTGTGTCTGACGGCCCGCTGGCCACGGTTGATGGAACTCACGCACATGCACTCATCGTTTGTGAATACTCAAAATTACTGAGCTACCATCTCATGGACTGCACAGACCTAACTTTCATGGGATGTTAAAGTACCCCCTAGCTGACCCCCCCACCCCACACCTGGATTAGGGATAACCCCTTGTTATAAGGCCTTACTTTCAATTCAGCAGAATAAGGCCAATGTCGGGGCGGCTGTTTCAACTTGTTTCATCACCGCTATGTTGGTCTTATTTTTGAGCTGAGGCATGTGAATGATGAGCCCGTCCAGTCCCGTCTTGCCAGCTTCGAAAGACGAGTTCCGGACTCGTGCTGAGTGCCAAACAAGGCATAGAATCAGCAAACGCACAAACTCAGTCATGACATGGGCAGCACCCGCTACAGCTGACACTCAATATATCACTGCAATCTAATCTAGGTATGTCCACTAGTTGGTAGTGCCACCTTCCGAAAATAATCGAATACAACCTCCAGCATATCTCCAGCATTTGGGAAAGAGTAGTAGTGCCACAGCCTCCCCCTTTCCGTAGTCTTCTGCAGCATTCATGCTCGTGCTCCCGTAGTCTTCCCATAGCTTACTCTGGCTCCTCCTTGCCCTCCCCCAGAAGAATTGTAAGCGCTACGCGCTGCCCGTCTCGGCCAGGGCTATTTGATTTTGAGGCTTCCTTTGATCTCCATTCTTACTGCAGGGCCAGGCGAAGGACGGCCACAGACGTAGTCCAAGGGCACGGGGGCTGGGGCTAGGCAGCTTTCCAAGGGCCGCAGCAGCCGCACTCGGGCTGGGGCTTGACTTAGCCCCGCCTTAGATTACTTCGTCTACCCCCAGCCGAGCCCCTTGCCCTTAGAGTATGGCTGCGGCATGTGAAGCGCCAAGGACTGGGTTCAGGAACTAGATGAAGTTGGGGCTGGGTCGCCAGCTGTGTGCCTTGGAGCATGGATTTGCGCCACGCGGGAAATTCCAGGTTTGGGAAGATCCCTGTGATGTAAAGAGGGGTCTGACCACTTCCCGGGCCTGGGGACGAGGCAAAGAAAATGCAATTCCTTCTTGTTTGGAAAATACGAGCACCGCCTCTCCCCCGGCCCGGAGATATTCAAATTCCGCTATTCACGAAACGTTCATTGCGGCACCCCTCCCCCCTTCGCGGAAGCTTTCCCGAAGTCTTTCCAGCGTCTTTGCGCAGGATTCCCGTGGTTTTCTCGTAGTTTTCCATTATTTCTTCTGTAGTCTTGCCATAGACGCTGGCTCATTTTAGGGGACCCGGGAGTTGTCGGCCCAGGAGCGCAACAATGTCGAAGACAGCGGCTGGCCTTCAGAAGGTGCTGATAAATCAGAGGTCGAATGGCATCTTTTCAAGCGCGCGGCAGCCCGCGCGTCAAAGCGTTGTAGTTGCGTCATTTGCTAATGTGTAGAGCGTTGGACCCCACAAAGTGTGTTTTTCGACGTTTAATGTTCGTTTCTCTTCTGAGACCTAATTATTGTTGCTTTCACATTGGGTACTTGCCATTCCTCGAAGAAGAATGCACAACCGCGAGGATCTGCGCCCCAAGCAACGCATCGCACTTCGGAAGCTTAACATCGACCAGCCTCGACGGGGGACGCCAGAAGGTTTCCAATTGGTAGGTCCTTGCTGCAAGGCATAGCAATTCTTTGCTGCGTAGCGTGTGCATGACTCGCAAAATCATATGCCGCATTGTTCATATGCTTGTGAGCACATGCCGAGGTGGTTGGTTGCATGAACGGGTCATGGCAACTGCAGCAGACCGTATTAATATGTTTGCTGAAGCAGAAAGAGCCCGTTCAAAAGACCAAGACAGGCCTTGGGTGATGTGAATTGCTTAGACTGGGTGCAACTGCTATCTTGGTGTTAATATGGCTTTGGGCGGGGTTCACAGAGGTTCGCGTCAGGGCGCAGAATGGTTGAGTTTGGGTTGGGCATTCTACGGGGATTAGTATCATGGTTTTCGGGGCTGAGCTCAAGCCATATGATGCTGTGCCATGTTAAACTAGGCGTTCGCATTCACTTTGTACCTAGCAACCAACTCCATTGTCAGTTTCTTGTGAATGGGCTGAGCACTCTTTTTATAGCAGTATCATACAAGGATGATTTGACGTTTTTTTGACATGATAAAGAATACCGATGTGTTGGTGATGACAGTTTTCCTTGACAGACCGTACCCCCGGTGCTGATTGTTTGTATACACTTTGGTCTTTGTAATTAAACGCTTTGCGAGGATATTTGGATAGTCAGGCAGGAGCAACTCAACAAACGGCCAGAAGGGTCTCGTCAACCAGACAAAAGGGAACTGCAGAGGGGCAATGTGGTTACAGTTTCAGCCACGGGCACAGCATCATAAGGGCGAGCCTCAAAATTGCAGAACCCCAAAGCTAAGCTGGTTGGTTTCCTTCACACCACCATCCAAAAAGGGTGCTTTCGATCCTGAGGCAAACCCATGGTTTGTGAGTTGGCGCGTTTTTTCAGACAATAGATGTGCGTTGTTTTTTTCAACCCCTACAGAAGCTGGTGGTTGCCAGCCAACAGTATGCAAGAGATCGGCTTCTGCTTCGCTTGCTCCAGCCAAAGGGCATGTCGGCGATTGTGCCGCACTCGGATGTAGCAAAGGCTGCTGTTGGCGATAGAAACGCAGGTGCCATGCTGACGCCGATGGTCGTGGCACAAGGGAAGCCCGAGGCGCCTATTGGTTGGCCTGCAGAAGCGACCGCTGCAAAATGGATTTGTGTAAGCGTAGATCATCTCAGATTGAAAAGCGTTCACTGCATGGATATTAACTTTGCAATGTGCTTTTGCGCGTTCAGAAGTTGGCGTGGCATTGGAAAGCCAGTTGCACAACATCTGCCAGCGGCACGCTGATGTGTTTGCTGGTGACAATTGCATCATCCATCACAATTGTAAAGGTCTGAGTCCAAATGTCCTGTTCCCAGCAAGTACGAAAGCTGACAGGAGGATAGTAGAGACCTTACAATTCTGTATCCACCTCCATGATGAGTATTGGAGCCAAATCAGGTACAGACAGGGCTGACCAAATAAAACCGAGGCACCTGGGAAGAATTCCGGCTGATGTACTCTAGGCGTTTTAACGCAGATGGAAGTTCTGCGTATCTTTGCAGAGCACATGTTCCTATCAGCACCTCCGGAAGACGGCAGAAACATGCGCAGCGACATGCGTAGCATTTGGCCTCAAAGTTGAAGGACAATCTGACAGGATGGGAGATGCGCCCTAGTGAGCATCCCTTCCTGGTCTCCCCAACCCTCCTTTGGCATTTACAGCAGCGTGCACAGTTTGCATCTGGCGGGTTTGCACTCATCCTGGCTCTGGTGTGCAGTTTTTCCGTACTGCAGACAGACTTTGAAAACAGCCTGATTTGGGCCTTCCTGCAAAGTTTCAGTAAGAGATCCATCACTGCACGCACATTAAAAAAAAACACGTGCATATATGTCTATGCTTGCCAACCATGCACACACTTGCACGCGCGCACGCACGCACGCACGCACGCGCGCGCACGCACGCACACACACACCACACACACACACAACACACACACCAACACACACACACCAACACACACACACCAACACACACACACACCAACACACACACCAACACACACACCAACACACACACACCAACACACACACACCAACACACACACACACACCAACACACACCAACACACACACCAACACACACACCAACACACACACCAACACACACACACCAACACACACACCAACACACACACCAACACACACACCAACACACACACCAACACACACACACACACCAACACACACACCAACACACACACACCAACACACACACCAACACACACAAACACACACCAACACACACACACACACCAACACACACACACACCAACACACACACACACCAACACCAACACACACACCAACACACACACCAACACACACACCAACACACACACCAACACACACACCAACACACACACACCAACACACACACCAGCACACACACCAACACACACACCAACACACACACACCAACACACACACCAACACACACACACACACACCAACACACACACCAACACACACACACACCAACACACACACACACACACCAACACACACACCAACACACACACACCAACACACACCAACCCACCCACCCACCCACCCACGCACGCACGCACCCACGCACCCACGCACCCACACACACGCACACGCACGCGCGGAAACACATGAACAGACACCTGGACAGACAGGCACAAACAAAGTGGTTGTGGAACCGTCCGGCTGTTGCACGGCATTTTTGTGCCGAAGAGGGCTTTACTGCAATTTGTACATTGATTCACCTCCACCTGAGTTGCTTGGCCCCAACAAGCCCAAACGTTCTGAGTTGCACTCTTAATGGATTTCCCAAAGTTGTGTGAAGTCCAGAAACTAGTGAAGCGAGGACCTATCTCTCTACTGCCAAGGAAACATTAATTTGGTAGTAAATTGGTTTGTGCGAGGGCCTGCTGGTCAAAAGGCCTTTGATCAGCTGTACCGCACGCGTCCTTTGTCAAAACGTTTTGTTCCAATCCAGCAAGCAGAAAGTGGCACGGGAGCCTTGCTGTGAGGGGTCTGTGGCCGATGTTCCCTGCGGTACGCTCAAGCGATGTACGATCAAGCGTGTGTCCCGCAGGCAGAGAGCTCTGGAGGCCGGGTTCGGTGGGCGTACTTGGTGGTTTCAACAGGCCTTCCATGTGCTTAAGAATATATGAGCCACGGACAAAACACACGAAGACCACTTTATCAAGGCCGGGTACGTTTTTGCATAACACATGCCGAAACCATGCAAAACGATAAGGTCTCCCCCAAAAACGATAACCCTTGGCTAACACACGGCTCTATAATAACCCCTGCAGTTGCAACTTAGCTAGGGTGGGACCCTTGCGTGGCCACCGTAAAACGAGAAGGCGAGTCGCCACTTTCGAGCTGGAGCTGCCAAGGTGTGCTTCGTAAATACAACACTTGTACTGAGAAGTTGCGATTTTCGAGCTGGAGATGCGGAAGTGTACTTCGTGTACTAGACTTGTACTACAAAGTTGCGACTTTCGAGCTGGAGCTGCGGAAGTGTACTTTACGTGCTAGACTTGTACTACAAAGTTGCGATTTTCGAGCTGGAGCTGCGGAACTGTACTTCCCGTACTAGACTTGCACTACAAAGTTGCGATTTTCGAGCGGGAGATGCGGAAGTGTACTTTGCGTACTAGACTTGTACTACAAAGTTGCGATTTTCAAGCTACTTTGCTGTACTAGACTTGTACTACAAAGTTGCGATTTTCGAGCTGGAGCTGCGGAAGTTACTTCCACTAGACTTGTGCTACAAAGCGCTGCTGCGGAAGTGTACTTCGCGTACTAGACTTGTACTAGACTGCAAAGTTGCGATTTTCGAGCTGGAGCTGCGGAAGTGTACTTCGCGTACTAGACTTGTACTACAAAGTTTCGATTTTCGAGCTGGAGCTGCGGAAGTGTACTTCGCGTACTAGACTTGTACTACAAAGTTGCGATTTTCGAGCTGGAGCTGCGGAAGTGTACTTCGCGTACTAGACTTGTACTACAAAGTTGCGATTTTCGAGCTGGAGCTGCGGAAGTGTACTTCGCGTACTAGACTTGTACTACAAAGTTGCGATTTTCGAGCTGGAGCTGCGGAAGTGTACTTCGCGTACTAGACTTGTACTACAAAGTTGCGATTTTCGAGCTGGAGCTGCGGAAGTGTACTTCGCTTACTAGACTTGTGCTACAAAGTTGCGATTTTCGAGCTGGAGCTGCGGAAGTGTACTTCGTGTATTAGACTTGTTCTACAAAGTTGCGATTTTCGAGCTGGAGCTGCGGAAGTGTACTTTGCGTACTAGACTTGTACTACAAAGTTGCGATTCTCGAGCTGGAGCTGATGAACTGTACTTCGCGTACTAGACTTGTACTACAAAGTTTCGATTTTCGAGCGGAGATGCGGAAGTGTACTTCGCGTACTGGACTTGTACTACAAAGTTGCGATTTTCAAGCTGGAGCGCTGTGGAAGTGTACTTCCCGTACTAGACTTGTACTACAAAGTTGCGATTTTCGAGCTGGAGCTGCGGAAGTGTACTTCGCATACTAGACTTGTACTACAATCTTGCGACTTTCGAGCTGGAGCTGAGACTTGTACTACAAAGTTGCGATTTTCGAGCTGGAGCTGCGGAAGTGTACTTCGCTTACTAGACTTGTGCTACAAAGTTGCGATTTTCGAGCTGGAGCTGCGGAAGTGTACTTCGCGTACTAGACTTGTACTACAAGGTTGCGATTTTCGAGCTGGAGCGCTGTGGAAGTGTACTTCCCGTACTAGACTTGTACTACAAAGTTGCGATTTTCGAGCTGGAGCTGCGGAAGTGTACTTCGCGTACTAGACTTGTACTACAAAGTTGCGATTTTCGAGCTGGAGCTGCGGAAGTGTACTTCGCGTACTAGACTTGTACTACAAGTTGCGATTTTCGAGCTGGAGCGCTGTGGAAGTGTATTCCCGTACTAGACTTGTACTACAAAGTTGCGATTTTCGAGCTGGAGCGCTGTGGAAGTGTACTTCCCGTACTAGACTTGTACTACAAAGTTGCGATTTTCGAGCTGGAGCTGCGGAAGTGTACTTTGTGTACTAGACTTGTACTACAAAGTTGCGACGAGCTGCGGAAGTGTACTTTGCGTACTAGACTTGTACTACAAAGTTGCGATTTTCGAGCGGGAGATGCGGAAGTGTACACTTGTACTACCAACGCTGTGGAAGTGTACTTCCTGTACTAGACTTGTACTACAAAGTTGCGATTCTCGAGCTGGAGCTGCGGAAGTTTACTTCGCGTACTAGACTTGTACTACAAAGTTGCGACTTTCGAGCTGGAGCTGCGGAAGTGAACTTCCTGTACTAGACTTGTACTACAAAGTTGCGATTTTCGAGCTGGAGCTGAGGAAGTGAACTTCCCGTACTAGACTTGTACTACAAAGTTGCGATTTTCGAGCTGGAGCTGCGGAAGTGTACTTTGCGTACTAGATTTGGACTACAAAGTTGCGATTTTCGAGCTGGAGCTGCGGAAGTGTACTTCGCGTACTAGACTTCTACTACAAAGTTTCGATTTTCGAGCTGGAGCTGCGGAAGTGTACTTTGCGTACTAGACTTGTGCTACAAAGTTGCGATTTTCGAGCTGGAGCGCTGTGGAAGTGTACTTCCTGTACTAGACTTGTACTACAAAGTTGCGATTTTCGAGCTGGAGCTGCGGAAGTGTACTTTGCGTACTAGACTTGTACTACAAAGTTGCGATTTTCGAGCTGGAGCTGCGGAAGTGTACTTCGCGTACTAGACTTGTACTACAAAGTTTCGATTTTCGAGCTGGAGCTGCGGAAGTGTACTTCGCGTACTAGACTTGTACTACAAAGTTGCGATTCTTGAGCTGGAGATGCGGAAGTGTACTTCTCGTACTAGACTTGTACTACAAAGTTGCGATTTTCGAGCTGGAGATGCGGAAGTGTACTTCGCGTACTAGAATTATGCTACAAAAGTTGCGATTTCGAGCCGGATCTGCCAAAGTTCGAAAACACTGTAAAACGATAAGGTCTCCCCCAAAAACGATAACGTTCAAAAAAGTACTAGGGCCAAGTAAAGTGTTTCGTCCGCTCCTCATATGTTTCTGTTTTTGTTCATGTTGTTTTTTCCCCTGTTAGTTGTAAAGGAATCTATCACTACTGGAAATATTTCTTTTGTTTTTTTTCCAGGGGTCTGAACCAAATGGAAGAGGCGTTTCCTCTTGCATTGTGCTCAGTGATTGCAGTTTTCTTGGCAGTCTATTTCGTAGGGGCAGAAATGTAGAAACTCGGGCAAGAACTGGCATGGGCCTGGCCTCCAAGCATCAACCTTATCAGTTGTCGTAGTTTGTGATGTCAATCGCTGGGCAAGCTTGATCAGCGCAAACAATCGGCCCACAAAACAATGGTCTTGAAAACAGGAGCAGCAAACTCTTGAATGCCACCCTGTTTCTGCTTCCCAGCTAGCTGAGTATTTTTGATATCGAGGAAAACCTCGTGCGTTTGCCAAAGTTGAAAGACACACGGTTAAGTTAAATCTGTCACGACTCTAGATCTGTGAATTGTTGGCTGGTATTTGGACTTAGCATAAGAGAAGCATGCGCGGCATATTATGCCACCCAGATGACTCAGAAGCCATCGGGATCAGGGGAATGCAGCAACACAATTTTGAAAAGCAGCTTCAGTGGTGCAACTCAACCAGTGTACAGATGGTTGACGAGCTGAGACTTTGACATGGTGCCTGGCTATGCCAGGCGCCGCACAGAAGGCGGGTGGGCTTAGTGAGTGAGCCAAGCACTCGAACCTAGAGATATGGATGAGTGATGACTGGCTCTGCCGAACATCTACTTAAATGGAGTAGCGGTTGGAGATGACTTAGAAGCAACACGGGCAACTTCTAGATTAGTGATTGATCAGGGGTGCATGGTTTGTTTAATGACACCAAGGATTTGCATCTGCAGCTTGGCCATTTGCTTTCTACAAGCCCGCGGTCAAAGGCAGAGGACTTGAAGCTGTTTTAGGTTTGTGTGCCATGAAAGGCTTATAAAAGGTCAGAGTCGACAGGTTGGGTCAGCCAGACAATACCCAAGCAGAGATATTAAGATTCTAGGGGCGGGGCCATCCCTGCTGAAAGGTTCTCAGAACCCCGACTACAAGTCACGACATGCTATACCAGGTTTCCGGATGCGGGCGGCGGTGAAAAGCTCGGCAGAGAAGCTCAAACAGCAACTTTGCAAGCACAGAGTGACGTAGCAAACCGAAGGCCAACACCAATCAGGGTCAAGCAAGCACATCAGAAGCGCCAACTTCGGGCTGGCACTGGGCCAAGCAAAAGGAAACAGGAGACGGATTGGTGTGTGCTTGCAAGCGAGTTGGGCTGTATTTGCACGCCTTTTGCAAGCTTGCAATTGGGCAATGGGTCCTTGCTATAGTGAGTGGCATCCCAAGCTACTTGTATTTCCAACATTTTAAGGAAACTGCATTTTGACACCCACCTAGTCGAAGGGCACGGCACGCCACAGCGAGAGAGAGAGAGAGAGAGAGAGAGACAGAAACAGAGCGAGAAACAGAGAGAGAGAGAGAGAGAGAGAGAGAGAGAGAGAGAGAGAGAGAGAGAGACAGGCAGAGAGAGAGAGAGAGGCAGAGAGAGAGAGAGAGAGAGAGCGAGCAAGCGAGCGAGAGGGGGGAGAGAGAGCAAGAGGGCGAGACACTGCCAGAAAGAACGGAGGTGCCTGGCTTGCAAGTAGATACAACCCGAGCGCGCGCCCGGCCTGCGCTCGCCAGCCAGCAGGCGCTCGACTGGCGCTCAAGCTAGCAACATTTGGATGTGGCTCAAAATTAAACAGGAGGGGTTGCGCGAGTGTTGGTCCATGTTTCCACTTACCAAGGTTCCATTTTGGTACAGGATTTTTGAGCCACTGCCATTTGTTTTTAAGCTTTGGACACTACCAAAAATAGCGATGGTACTTCGTGAGCAAACATTCGCGAGCGCTCGGCGGTGCATCCCCAGAACTGCTCTCGGAACGGCCTTCAGAACCGCCCCATGCATCCCCGAACCCTCCTCGGAATTGCGCCACGCATCCCCGGAATTCTCCTCGGAACCTTACCTCAGAGCCGCCCGGGACGAACCCGGAGCCATATGGGCAAAAACCCCATAGCTTTCAGCTGTTGGGGAAAAACAGAAAGAATAAAATTGAAAGGAAGGAAGTAAGGACGGAAGGAAAGAAAGAGTCAAAGAACAAAAGAGAGAACAATACAGAGAAAGACAGAGAGAGAGAGAGAGGGAGAGAGAGCAGCGCTTTTGGACAAAGCGCTCCACGGGAACACCTGAATGCA